GGAATTGCACAGCAGAGATCCTTTTGGCAAGATCATCTTTCTTATAATTAATTGAGTAACATTGCCACAAAGTACAACTTTTTATTATGCAGGTCTCTGAATTTATACCAAAGATGCATCTTGCTTTTGTTGCTTTTTCTTTGGTGGGGGTTGGAGTGGGGTGGACAGCACAATGGTGAACTGTCTATGTAGGCAGATATTTCAAAATCTTAAATGTACAGATATGAACTGAAAAAAGAAAAGAGAAAATAAGATCTCTAGTTATAGCTACAGAAAGTTGATAGCCATGCGGTACATGCAACATTTGAAATTTTCATTTCATGTTGAGAACTCCACCAAACATGAGTTATTTATTTTATCAGCATATAATATATTAATGGAAATGGAAGCTTCCTAAACGTGAAATGAAAACTTCAACCAGCTAAAAGTAATTCCGAGGAATTTCTTGTAAAATTTTCACCAAGATTGACAAGGTTAGACTTGGTTTAGTATTTGTACACTCTTATTAACAGGACTTCAATTCAAACAGGTCAAAGGAAACAAGAGTAAATAGATTTTATATTGCACTTGCACAGGCATAGAAATGTTAACCTTTAAATAAACAAGTGCAACTAAGATAATCCTAAATACACAAGGAAACCCTCTTTCTATGCTTTCTTACCAGATTTGTTTCTGCATATAAGCAAAAGTAGGAAAATTGTAGTACAAACCTGCAACTTTGGAACTCTAGTAGCACCTCCAATCAACTCCACAGCATATATATCATCAGCTTGCAAGCCTGAATGCTTAAGCACTTCTTTCACAGGTATAAGGGATTTATCCCAAAGGTCTGCACAGAGCTCTTCAAACTTCTCACGAGTTATGGTGCTCCTGAAGGGAAGAAAAAAGAAAGAACAAAACCAATTTCAGAGAAGCACATGTATTACACCCAAAGATTATCACAAATTCCAGATAATTTTCCAGCTTATTTCTCTGTGATTGTGTCATGAAATCAACCCTAGGCACAACAATAGGCACCCTTTCTAGCTTAGAAATTGTTTCTTCTTCATTAAATTTTCTTCATTTTATTCAGCATTCAAATCCAGAAGCTGCCATAACAATAGACACCTAGCTGTCCTCCATCACTTATTCGACAAGAAAATGCAAAACAAATCATAACTTCTAAGGACTGGATGAAAAAGAAAGGGCAAAGTAATTAGGGAGAACTGAACAAGGAAAAATAATGAGCACAGCAACATTAGACAGCCAACTGATTATGATGAGATACAAAAACACAAGTACCATATTCCTTTTTCCCTGCCTAAAAACATAAAGAACAATGAATAGATATTTGTTGTTTCCCTGATCATTTATGCAAACTCTACAGAAACTATAATATTTTTTGCAAGAACAGTCACAGGCCCTAAAGGGGAAGATAAAAGAAAGCAACGTTTATTTTAAATTGTCCAGGCTCTAACGTGATATCCTGGCATTAATAGGATAGAAATATGAAGAATGTTACATGAGAATACTGGAAGCAGGAACAATTAAATGCTGATCCCAGATAGTAAGCATTGAAACAGCTAAAGTTACATGCAGCTAAGACTAGTCAACAGTTTTAGAGAAACATTTTAGTCTCAAAGCTTGGCATCAATCATGAATTTACTTTTCAGGAAGAATATGTAACAATATGGATCTTGTAGATAGTAACTCAAAATGTTTCAGTTATTTAAAGTGGCTATTTGGTTCATAAAAGGAATTCCTAAGTTACCTCAAAGCACAAATACTTGGAAACAGAAACCATGAGCCCTTACAAAATATACTTTCCCGGATACATTACCGAATCGTACTCCACCTCAAGTTCTCTTGCATGGAACAGAAATATACAAATCTATATAATAACAGGAACATGAAAAGTCAAAAGCATGCACTAAACATTAGATATGATGATTTAAAGACTACAGACCTGAAGTCCTGATCATCGTAGAGGGATTCAACAGATATTGGAGCCGCTGTATTTGCACTTAAAATTTCTTTTGTACGCTTAACCTGTTTCTTCAACTTAGCCATTGCCTTGGGATACTTCCTCACATCAAACCCATTTCCAAGTTGTTTATTGAACTCATCAGCAAAGTAATCCACCAGCCGTAATTCCATGTTCTGTCCTCCTAGTTCTGAGTCCCATCTAACATCCTTCACCTGGAAAAGATGTTAAATGTTAATTGCCATGATACCTATAGCCAGCGGTAGTGTAATGTCATATTAAAGAATCAAAGCAAATCTGAAAAACAGGCACCAGCCAGTTTGTTACAGTTATTTGAAGAGCAAATACAAAGTTCAATTGATTATTATCATGGGCATAATGAAGATGCAGGAGCACTTTTCCTTTAGGAACAGCTATCAGTTCAAAATCATTTCCAAAAGTGTTGGTGATGTGAAAAGATTTCGTATTAAGTGGAAACATAAGCCAGCCACAAAGAGCATATGGATTACAATGATGAAATTGCAGCAATTTGTAACTTTAGCAAATATTTTGCAAGTTTAAACGCAATCAGACCCATGTTCTTCTCAGCATGGAAGGTGTTGGAGTCATAAAAAAGAAAAGCATCATCACAAGAACTTTTTAAAGCAAGAAGAAGCTATATGCTTGCTAGAATATTAGACAAGTCATTATTTGTTTAATTACAATAACTAGTTTACTTATTTAGAAGATTGATAACTATTCTTTTCTAATATTTATCAAGCAAGGTTATAAAAGAATAGACTAAAAGAACCTTTTGAAACATTGAAGCCTAAGAGCAATCTAAGTTTTTAGTCTCCTGGTATTTCTAAATATAGAATCACTGGTTAACAGAATAAAGAAATCAGTGAGTAATCTAATTCACTGATTTAATTACAGATTGTCAACTATGGCGATTCTATTGCTAGCAAATGCATTCATTACAATCCCTATAACATATTAACATATATACCAACTAATGCCAATTGATTTCAAGTCGGATGCTTAACAGAATAAGGAAAATAGCGAAAGTAAAATTGTAAATTGCAAGGAAATTGCTATTGAAGATTTTTTTTTTTTTTTTCTGTTTACCTGAAATTGGTTGACAGAAACAGTTTTCCCAAACTCCTTAGCATTATAAGCCGAATAATAAACAAGAGCTGCATAAGTACTACTCGAACCCATATCATAAAAAATCACATGCCTCGACTCATTCGAGAAATCCTTATCGATCCCATACTGCAATGCCGCCCCCGAATGCTCATTTATCAACGAAATCACGTTTATTCCGGCCAATTCTGCCGCCGTCAGCAACCCTTTCCTCTCCGCTTGTCCAAAATACGGCGGCACCGAAATCACCGCATCTTTAACCTTCGCTTTCGAATGAAACACCGCTAAATTCGCGGCGTACTTCAAAATCATCCCCAACAATTCCTCAACGGAGTAACTAACGTCGTTCGAAACTCGAATCCTTGCGGCGCCTCTAGAATCTTCTACTATATCAAACGGAAGGTACATTGAATCGGCGAATCGCTTGACGTCTTGATAGGGCTTCCCAACCATGTCTCGAAGATTGGAAAACACTTTATCGGGATAACGAGCTACGATTCCGGCCGCTTCTTCGCCGAGTAAGCGAGTTTCCGACTGGAATGCGACTAAGACTGGGGATTTTCGCTTGGACATCTCGTTGATGGCAATGGTGATTGGACTTTGGCCTGGCTTTAGATTCACCACGGCGACTTTCAGCCATTCTGAACCCAGATCTATGCTTGAAACAGCAGATTCCGACTTAATTAAGAATAACGATAGTAGGGATAAGAATATCCCTAATCTGAATAACATATTCCTCATAAGAATTACTTAAAATCTTGTTGAAATAGAGGATCTGAATTTTTGTAAGAAATAGAGAGAAGAGGCGCAGGTACTTGACTCGGGGGTTTTGGCTTTTATATAGAGCTGACGAGGGAGCGATCTGAGGTGGAAAGTACGAGAGAAATGACCTATAAGAAGAGGCCACGTGGAAGAATGGACACGTGGCGAGTTTTGAGAAGCTTAGAAGTGTTGTGCTTTCGTGTTTGGTACTCGGTTGTTTAAAGTCAGTCAGTCAGTCATTTGCGGCTTCGTTGGGGCAAATTGATTTTGGCCAAAGTCTACCTTCTAATTTCATTAAATAAACTTTATTTAATATCTTTTACTTTCATTTTCTTTTACATGCTCAAGAAAATTATGAATATTAATGCAATAATAATATGATTACCCATTTTTTCTTTATAATGCAGTCAGATTATTTTTAAATTTTGTCGAATTTAATCTTTTTTTAAATAATTTTAAAAACCTATTATCCCATATCGATTTAAAGTATTCATGATTTTATTTTTAAAATTTTTTCGAGATATGATTATTTTATAAAAAAATTTAATTAAAATTTTTAAATAAAATTTGTTCAATTTTATATTAAAATTGATTAAATAAAAATTAAAATCTAATAAATAGATTGAAAATTTTTATTGTATAAATCAGTAAAATTTATAAATATTTTAATAAATTTTTATATATTTTTCAGATAAATATTATTACTAAAAATTTCTGTTGAATTTTTATTATTGAATAAATTTTTATTAAATTTAAATTATAAATGACATTTTTAATAATTTGTTTATATATTATTAACTTTTTTTATTAAACTCAATCAATCAATCAATTAGTTTGAATTTTAAATTAAAATTTTTATTGAAAAAGAAACTTCACAATCTTCAACTAAAAAATTTCATTCAAATTTTAATTTTACAAAAAATAAAAAAATAAATAATTGAGGTATGTATAATTGTATTGTTAATCAAGAGTAAATTGCACCAATGATCTTTAATTTTTAAACAAAAAATTTTACATTCATTCCTAATCTCTTAATTGTTTTATTTAAATTACAAATCTTGTTAAATTGATTTAATCCTTTATTAAATAATTCAATTAAAATGAACAATATATACTAGAATGAACAACCATTTTTTTAAACAATTTATTTTTTATTTCATTTATTTTAAAGGAATTATTTAGAATTATTTAACAGTAAGATGGATTTCCAAATCATATAAATCTCTCATCAGTCTTTGATATTCATGTTCAGATCGAATAATCTACATCCACTCACAAATTGTATGACAAATCAAACCCAAAATTATTCTTTCAAATTCATGTTCAAACCAAGCACATTAAAATTTGTAAATCGGGGATGACTTCGATCAATAATGTATACATAACATAATGTATTTATGTATATATGTGTATGTGTTTTGTTGTACTATAAGCTTCACTAAAGTGGCGAAATGCTCATATCAAAAGAGGGAATAAAAACTCAAAAACTACACATTTAGCTACAAATCTTAACACTCAATGGTTAGAGAGTAGAAAAGGTGACATGAAAATTTCTAGTTGAATTGATTTCACAGTAAAAAGGTAGATACATGAAAAACCTCTAAGAAGGGAGAAGCAACCATCACCAGCATATGAAACAACAGCTGCCTCTGGAAGATGCAGATTGTGGGTGGTGCTCACTTAAGTTATGCCTCAATTGAAAAAAGCCAGAAGCTCGTGGTATATGCAAAACTTGTTAGAATGGGGCTGATGTCGTTCTACGAAGCTGATATTTCGGCTCGGGAGGCGGAGTACATGGCAGCATCTGCTCCAGCTCCTAAGAATATATAACAAGAAACCAAGAATGACAATGAATCTTATGTCGAAGCACCAACAAAAAAGATCGTATTTAAGACTTTTGAATACGTAAACATGCATTATACTTAAAAAATATTTATATATGAAACCATGAACGAAAACTTTATGAGAACCAAACATTGAATTGAAGGAGAAGGCTTTTGGAATGAATAAACATGCATCAAACACCTTCGGTCTTTAGTTCACCAAAACCTTCTTCCGTATCATTTCTTCTTGTCCTACTAACCAAGTGATAGGAAAGCTATGTCTTACAATGATGATCAAACAAGAAGAGATAACATCAAATAGAAATTGTGGTGACAACAGAAAGAGGGAAAATCTTGCTTTTACAAGAGGAAATCTGAACGAGCATTGGAAAGCATATACTTCTCAAAGTGTAACAGCACCCCATGCCTATTTGAGGTCAGTTTCTATTTTCTTTATTTATTTACTTGCTAGACAGAGTTTATGTAAAAGATATAAAAGATAGATGGTATATAACCAAAAGTGGAGTATGGCGAACAACAAAATATGGCACACCATCCCTTGAACCCGCTCAGATTCAGAGAATGATACAATGTCCAAATGATGCTGGCATGATATAGCATTGCCGAGGCTAATTATCAAGAAAATCCTAAAATGACATGGGTATGAAGGTCCAACCCACCAAATATATGGAAACTTCAATAAAAAGTTTGAACATCCCATGTCGTACAGATCCTGTATATGACACTCACCCCCAAATCCAAGTAACATAGTTGCCAAGAGCTATGAGTATAAGACTAACTACTAAGAAAAAAAGATCATAAAAAAAGCCGGTTCATTCACGGAATCACTAGTTTTAAATCATCACAACTCAAAGAAAACCATGAACAAGTGAAGAACATTTGGAAAATGAAGATACAAACGAATTGAGAAAGAGTATCTGAATTTACCTTGCTACTGTTAAAAAGGATTTGTCATGTTTCACTGACAGCAATACTGATAATTTGAAAGCAAAGAGTTGCAATATCACGAGATTATTCTAGGGGTTAGCCTTGTACTTGGGTTGGAATCCAGGGGGTGCCTCTTTAGTGCTTTTGTTTGCTCATTTATCAAAAATACAAATAGACAAATTACGGGATCACTAAAACTCTGAATTCTAATCATTTCAGTTGATTGGGCCAATTTAAAATGCAAGTTAAATGAGGACAGCTTAGGCAGGAGAATTGTGCAAGAAGAATGAAAGACAGGAACAATGCAAATCAACAAGTCAGCATATTGTCCATTAACAAGGCCATTTATCAAGCCAAAACCCCCAGGTAAAGAAGCTGTTTCCACACAATTGATGGAAATTGTAGTTTTCAATGATTTTATATTTCCAGGGAGCAAGTGCAATAGGACAGCTGGCAGGGAGTGGGGTGCCTCAAATCAAGGAAAGTTGATTATACAGAGTGTACTGTTCAGTATGGTTTTGAGCTTAATTGGATGAGAAGAGAATATACAAGTTTGGCAGTAAACTTAAGATGGGAAAGGTTGAAGTTTGAGGGCTGAAAACACACAAAAAAGAAAACAAATTCAATTGCTGTCTGGAGCTGTTTCTTATACTTTGCACAGTAAATTAAGGATCTCAGCGTTGTCTGTTGGCAAATTGATTTGAGCAGCATATAAGGGTTTATAGGAGGGATTCAAGGTCAAGGAATTTCTGTATGATGGTGAAAGGTTAGAAGATAAGAAGGTTTGGAGAGCTTTAGCAGGCTTCATGTACCGTTCCAATCCCTTCCTTTCCATTAAGATGTTCTCCAGACAAGGATATTCTCCCTCCCTTCCCCTCACAAAGCATAAGACTTACTAAGGTCTCAAAGGGTTCACAGCTAGGCTTACAGTTGCTTCATATGAAACCAAAAAGTATATTAGCTACTGAAATTCTGATAAACCTGTTTGCCATTAGTTGAAATAAATTAAATGCTTATTTATTGTCCTAACTCCTGAGTATCCTAACCTTGCATGGACTTGAGATTTGAGATTCAAATAGGAAATTAAGCCTAATAACATTAAAAAAAAAATTATATCCATTAGACTCCAAATTCGCAAATTCCAACAACCTAACATTAAAATTGACAAGATGCCTATTTCACATAAAACTAAAAAAAATGAAAGCAGAACAACACCTACAACCTTGAATCCTAGAAAACAAAAGAACATGACTCAGATGGATTTAGCGTAGCTTAAATGATGTCATAAATCAGTCCAATGGATTGGCTGCACATAAGATTTGGGACTTTAGAGTTTGAGACGGAGATTAATAGTCCATGAAGGAAGACCAGGTTAGAAAATGTTTACAGCTGATAGAAGAGAATAACATTTCACAGCAGGTTTGGCTGAGCCTGGTAGAGGATATGATTGAGGGTTCAGAAATGTTTCTTTTTTATGGACTATGAGGAGTATCCTTTAACATTGTCAGAGAACAGTAATTAGGATTTAGCAAAAGGTAGGATTAGGACCCAATGAAGAACATGATTATGGTAGAGTTCACTACTTTAGACCAATCAAATCATCAGAAAAAACTTTGAATTCTCATAAACCAACAACCCTAGCTAAATTGAAGAATGCATCAAACTTAAGTTAGGATACTAAGATACAGCATTCTCAACTAGGAGTAGAAGCCCTACATCAGGAAGTGATAAAACAAAAATAGTGCACTAAATTGATCACATTAATAACAGCCATGTAAATTAGAGTACTAAACCTATCAAACAACTCATTTTAGAGATGTCATAGTTCCTGAAACAACTATGCATACAGAATAAAAAAAATAAAACTAAGCAATTGGCAAAATGCTGTCTTGCAGCAAGATTATCAATCTTCTGGTAAAATTCATCTAGGAGTATCTCTAGCTACTTTTAAAGAAACAGTTCCTGCTAAATCATCATGATAAAGGTCTCTATTAAGTGGTCTATCCACATTAGCTTTTTTTGGCCAAATCCATATTAGTTTAATTAGTGGTAGGCCCTTATATTCACCCCCCCCCCCCTTGCTATTTGGTTTTAAGTTGAACACTAAAACATGAAATCGCAGCCAAGATTCTTCATTGCCTCGTTTTTTTGCTAGTTTTTGCTGCCTTATTTCTGTAGTCTAAATGTAGGCCTATTTGTCTCAATTATTAATTTTGGGCCTACATGTAAAGGGGGGTGTTGGTGTTAGGAACAGTAGTTAAATTTGGACATTATTCTGGCCTTATATTCAGGTTGGTCTCTCCACCTATACAAAATTGGTTTGAGGGACACCAAGCATGGGAAACTGACTATATTTCTTGATAACAAATGCACTGACTAAAATTTTTCACTTCCCTTTAACTGGCATCGGGATTTATATTACAGAATGGAACATATTTGCTAAACTAGCTTTCTAACAGAAGTTTTCAACATAATTATTACACGCATAAGAATTGAAGATATATAGATAGAAAATGGTTAAAAACCTTGCTCTTATACCACACACTAGTTTATCATAAATGAAAAGTTCTACATCATGCGCACATCATGATATTGAGAAGCAACCTTAGATATAACCTAGCAACAAACAAGCTGGATGCAAAGACTTTGCAGCTGCCAGGTACTATATGATAGGGTAATGACAAGGAATGTGGGATAGTGTTTGCATAAAAGCAGGTTATTTGTGATTTAACTGGAACCTGAATCTTAGTTCCATTCGGGTTTCAGGCTGCAAACCAACTAGGCAATCCCAATAATATCATACAACTGATATCACATACATAGACAAGGAAATCATAGAGTGAAAAAGCAACCATTCACCATATTTAAGTTCTAAGTGTTATGTACACATTTGCAAGAGCCATGGAAATGAAAGTACTTCATGCAATAAAATAGTTTAATAGTCTATGACTCAATTTAGAATAGAGAATATGGACATAATGTACACAGGTTATCAACTTAAAAACATAAGTAAATAGATTTTGTGAAACACAAACACAAAAATATTAAATTTGACTTTTGAGTAAGATAAAGTCTTTCCTCTTCTTCAAAGAACAGGTTGAAAAAAAGTTCAACTATTATACTTCAAAAACAAAATGGTGTTTCAAGATAGTTAATTGAATGGAAATGAATCAGGAAAGTATCTTATAAGACAGATCTAACCTTTCGTTTCCTCAACCTTTTATTTTCCTCTTCTAAACACGAAACTTTGTTCTCCAATTCATTAGTGTAAGCCTGTTTATGAATATCATTCACGTCATAACATAATTTAGGAAACAAGATCGTAAACATTTAAAAGAAAAAAAAGAAGAGATACAAAACGAACAGCATCACTGTCAATTTTGATAGATAGAAACAAATGAAAGCTGACCTGCTTCCTCGCTCGTGAACGTGCCGCAGATTCCCTGTTCTTTATCATCCTCTTCTGTCTCCTTTCAACATTTTTTTCAATCATGTCCTCAGGGGCACCCCTTTTCCTTCCAGATGCCTGTGAATCTGATAATGTTCCCATCAAAGGTGAAGGCAATGGCACCTGGTTCTCTGGGTACGAGACATCCATTACAGCTGTAGCCCCTATGGCTAAAGGTTGTGGCAGAGGCTGGGTTGGCATATAAACCCCCACCATACTTTGTTGTGGATGCTGATATTGTGGCTGTGGGTACTGCATCCACTGACCTTGTTGTGCAAGCTGCGGTGCAGCACTTAGATCAAGCCCAGCAACATAAACACCACCTTTTTTATCCATAGATGCTTCAGCAACAACTCCTGCTTTCACAAGAAAATCCTCCAATGTCATTTCTCCGAGGGTAGGCTGCCTTTCTCTAGATTTCTTTTCCCCATCATTTTTGCTTTGTTGAATATCTCTCCAAACCTCATCAACTGTCTTCTTGCTCAAAGCACTAGTCAACGACAAACTCGCCTGATGCTGCAGAGCAGTTTGATTGGTCAGTTCAGTCCCTTCAGTTTCCATACCAAAAGCCTGGTTAGCCTCAGCTGTCCATAAATTCTTGAGAAGCTCATCTAAGTTCATGCTACTTAGAGGCTTTCCTAAGTCACCCAACTGATTTTGAACCTCATCCAGTGTGAGACTATACATTGAATTTTGCTGTGTCAACTGCTGAAACTGCGACTGTTTGCCATTACTATCACTATCACCTTGGGACCCCATTGTCTGAATTCCCATGTAATTAGTTTTACTTAAGCCACTTTTTCCAAATTCCCAGACAAAAATTCCTTGGCCAGTGACTATATAAATCCTAAAGTCCACCTGATACCCCACCCCAATGGCTGAACACCTGAAGCTTCACCAGTCAACCCAAAAACTAGAACCTGAAACACTGAAATCTGAATTAGACCCAGCCACTCAATTCAACTCCCCTCAGTTCAAATGATCCAAAAACACCTTTATCATGTACCTAACAATATTATATGAAGACAATCTAAATAATTCTCTTCTTCTCTTAAAGGTGAATGAAATTATCAAATACATTTTATTTCGAGAACAAATGCACACATGCATAGGGCAGACCACAAACTACCCTCTAATTCAAAGTTCTTCAAACCCAAACGCTCTATTTGAATAAACTAGAAACCCCAGAAGCCTAGTATAACAGATCCCACCTCAAAAAACCAATAAAAAGTACATTTTTCCCTAGAAAACAAAGGAAAATAACACAAAATCCTAAAATTACAAAAGGATCTACATTTGAACAGTCATTTGAAAAGAACCCAGAAGGCAGAAAGAGATTAAAGAAGCAAATAAGACCCAGTAATTTACTGACATAAGATACACTAAAAAAAAGACTAAAGAAATAAAATTAATGTGAAAAATACTAAAAAATTTTTTTAAAAAATGAGATGATTAAAGGCTATAACGTTATAATCTGTTCCATGCAAATGTAAATGAATCGTAGGATTATTACACCATTAAACAGAAAAGGATAAACTTATTGCATGAAACAAATATCAAATGCTTTAAAATGAGAGGTAAAAAGAAAAATATCGAAACAAATCTGAATGGAAAGACAAAGACAAACCCAGAAGAGGATCAAAGCTGAGGATTTTTCTTTATTACAAGACAAAGACCGTGAATAATAAAAAGAACAAAGAAAAGCAACTGTCAGCAACAAAAACAGAAAAAATAAAACCTTAAAAAAACAAAGTAAGTAAAAATGAAGGGAGAGTTTAAAAGAAAAAAAAGGAAAGCTTACTTGGATTTAGAGAGAGTGGAGATTGAGAGCATGTGCATTTGCAGAGGAACAAAGCTTTTGTAAAATAAGAGTAAAAAGGCAATTCCCAAAAAATTAAATAAATAAATAAATCCCGGATTTTTTTTAATTTTTTTTTATAAGGGCCCAAAGTGTTTTAATTGGCCCAAATTTTTTTTGTTTTCTTTTTAAAATATGATAATTGTCACGCTTAGCCAAATGGCAGTTTCACATGCAATCCCTTAATATATATATTTTTTAACTTTCCTATTCCCAATCTAAAAAACAATCCAAAAAAAATTAATAAATTGAATTAATTTAGAATACACATGGTGATTTAAAATGCAATAATAGATACGAATAAGATATGAAAAGATATAAAAATAATATAATTTAAATTTTAATAATAATTATATATAAATTTAATAAAATTAAAAAATATATATTTTATATTTTGATGTTCATATAAATTATGATACGTAATTTTTATATAAAAGATTATACAAATACATGAATTTAATATTTTACACAATATAAATATATAAATTATTTTAATTCATATAATTATTCTTATTAAATGATATACAATAAATTTAAATTTTAAATTTTAACACATACAATTTCTTTAATCCAAAAATAATATTCATTGTACAAAAAATTAAATAAATTATTTTATGGTTTTAGTTTTTAAATATTCAAATTTTATTTTTTTCATCTACAAAATTTGGGAATGGAAAAGGATTTATTTGATAATTCAAGCTTTTTCTTACCTTCCTTACTCTTCTTGTTACCACTAAATCAAGATATAGAAAGTTTTTTATCATTTATTTGTATGATTTTTTTATTTTGTAGCATTAAAATCTTAAAAAATAAATTTTGTGAAAAATTTTATATTTTAATATAAAATACAATAATATCAATTGTTTTAACTCCGTATAAATCAAATGAGAGAATGAATTTTTAGGAGGAGTATTACTTTGCTGAAATTAAGAATTTTATGGAGCAATTTTTATTAAAAGTGATGCTATTTACAAATTAACTACTCACAAATAATACCAAGATAATAAATAATAACTTTAAATATAATTAAATTTATTAGCTTAAAAAATTAAGAATTAATAAAATATTCTATTAAATTTAGTTATAAACTTTTGAAGAGATAAGGTCTTTAAATATAAATATTAAATTTGATTAATTATTTTAAGAAAAGCAAAATTGAACCTTATCTTATTTTTAAATTTCAATGTTTACTATATAGGATTAATCTTTGCATAAAAACAATATAAAATGTTAGCTTCCTTTGTTGGCATTCATGATTGGAATCAATCATATGTATGAAAAAAGAAAAAGCAAAGAAAGCATATTTTATTACTTATATGGAGTAACATTTAAGTAGTGCATAATTTCCATTGACTTAAGACTTCCACTACTTTAATTATTTTAAAACTTTCTTTTCCACTTTTTCTATGCAATTAAAGTAAATAATAGAGAATCATATTATTTTAGTACTTACTTCATACTATATCTCTCTTTCGGCTTTCTTTTCTTTTTTTTTTTTCAATTATCATGTACATGTGGGCATGTGGTATAAAAGTATTTAATTTACATGTGGTATAAAAGAATTTGGATTGAAAGTGAAAGATTAAAGAAAAGAGTGAAAGTGGTACGATGGAAAATGTGATATTGTTGGGATGTGGTGTATTTAGAAGAAATAGAAAATTATATTTTAAATGTGAGCCGTATTTAGTAATAAGGTATAAAGAGTATTTTTATGGGTGTAAATAAAATTTCCCTTCAACTAAAATTACTCATCACAATCAAGTCATTTCAAACAAAATTACCTTTTAACCTTTTAATCTCTTTCATTTTTCACTTCTGCCAAACCTTAGCTTTCTATCCTTTCATTAGTTTCCATTTTCTTTTGATCAAAATTTTAAAATCCTTAATCCCAATTTTGAGGTAAGGTTAGGACAAAATCGACAAATTTGAAGCAAATTTGAGGTATAAGGTAAGGTTAGGACAAAATCAACAAATCTAAAGCAAGATTGAGGCATATTTTTACTTAGTTTGAACTATATGTGGCTGAATTTGTTGCAATGTTGTAAAATATTATACAATTTTGAAACCATAAAGATATTTATTTTCGTAAGACTTAAAAAGCATACAAATATGCATACTTGTATATCATTAAACATATGAAAGTTGTGAAATGAAGGTATGAAAATGGTAGTTGTGAAAGGGGATATGAAAACAACTAAACTAAACATCCCTAGAAGGCCACCATGTTAGAGAAGATTATATTTTAGTGTTTCAACATGTTAGGCACCTTAATTTCTCATTTCTAAATGTATTCACAGGATACATACTTCCAAAAAAATTTTAAACTTTTTGAAAATACATATCCAAAAAGTGTAAATACTTTTCAACAATGCATATCCCAAAAATTTAAAATTTTCTAAAATTGTATATTTCAAAAATGTTTTTAACTAACCAGATATGTATATTTGAAAAGTCTTTAAACTTTTCAAATATGCATATCCATATGCATTATAAAGTAATAATAAGTGGTATTGTTAAGGCATAAAAATGCAATTTCAATAAAAATATAGTAGCATGAGCAATTTTTAGGATGCATTTAGAACTTCCCTTTATTTTGTTGTTCTTTTTTATTTTCCCTATCACTTCATTAATTATAAAGATAATTAATAATTATCCGTTGCAACTATCATTCTTTGTAGCATTACTAAGTTTTGAATGGAAAAATAATATTCATGTGAGACAAAATAATACCCAAAAAACAATCAAGAAGATGATATATATAATAAGGGATCAACTTACACAACATAACTCATTTTTAGTTTTACATATTTTTTTAACCATTGATTTCAATAGATCCAAGGGATGAAATTAAACTATTTTTTTTATTTGTACTTGATCCAAAGGATGATATTAAAATATTTTTTTCTATTTGCACTTGTTTTTTCATCCCTTAGATTTATTAAAATCAATGGTTAAAAAAATATGTAAAACTTTTTTGGTTTTACACTTTGTAAGTTGATTCCTCTATATATATATATATATATATATATATATAACCATATCAAAGTAGCATAAATATAAAAAAAAGAAATACAAAAACAAAAACAAAATTTAACACAATAAAAATTATTGAGGTAAAAAGTCAAACACCATAACAGCTTCATTATATCGTTAAAACTTAAAATCATCATTAAAAGGAACTCCTCTTGACCAATTAAAGCTTAATTATCTCTGGAACCAATACTTCAGTGTGTTACTCAAACCTTTATTGTCATTTCTTCTAAACCCCATTCTCTCTTAATTAGCTTGATGATTATCTCTCCTTTTAACTCGTTTTTTCATATTTCCAAATTATTCCTTCCATCACCACTTGTTTTTTTTCCCTCTTATCAATTCCACTATTTTTTTTTTTTTTTACAATTGCAACAATTCATGTAAATGGAAATCTTCATTGACATAAAAAGTTTCATAAAGCTAAAAAAAAATATATCCTAATTTACTTAAGTAAATTTTAAGGATGGTCATTAAACTATCACTAAATTCTCAAATCAATCACTAATTTTAATTTATTTTGATAAAATTAGTAAAATTTGTTAAGTGTAGTAAATCTGATCATCCTAACAAATTTCATCCAAACCAATAATGAAAAAATGACATGGTTACCACATAAACTACCACATAAATTATCATGTCATCTAAAATCCATGTCAAAATACTATTTTCCTCATTTTCTCTTTCTTCTTTTCTTTGGTTAAATTGCCACTATTAGCCAAAGCCTTTCTCATAAAAAAAAACACTATAATATAACATAAACATTTTTTTTCATCTTTGCATGGCCATCATTGGTTTTATCTTTTCTTATCTTATTTATCTAAATGAGCTATTGTTAGAATATACAATGCTTAAAGAATACAAAACAATGTTTACTTGATGTTTAACTTGTAATATACTTGTAGCACCTTTCTTTTGCAAGTTGAGTAGAATAAGTGGAACCCTTCAATCATGAATGTAGATGGCTTCAAGGCACAATACAAATGCCATTTTCCTTAATGATTATTTCACCTTTACCAATTACAGTATGCAAAAGAGGTTGAATCAAAATGCCTCAAAGATACAATGAAACTTATGTTTAGTTTACTTTGCACTAGAAAAACCAAATCACTAAACACTCATTGATAAAAAATGAAAATATCTTTTCTTTTTCAATAGCAAACAATGCCAAAGAAACAAATCTTTAACTTGAGTAAAATGAGAAAGGATAAGAAGAAAAGTAATTGTGAATTATGTTAACTGAACTTACAATAATCTCTGTTTATAAAGATTTAATCCTAAGGTTATAACTCTTTGATTATGTTGTTTCAATCAAATATCACTTTTTTTATTTGAAAAATGTCCTAAATAATTAAAGACGAATTGGTTCATTAAACTGATTGATCTTTTCTTTCCAAGAGAAACAATTTTTCGTGTTTCAAAAAATTTTAATTTTTTCATGTAGAGCAATCAACTGCCCCTTTGTAGTTTCAATTTCCAGAATGCTATTTGAAGTAGGACAGTCGACTCTTACTAAAGCAATCGACTTCTTTCAATTTTCAAAAAGCATTTGACACTTGATTAGTCGACTGCTCCATATGACAGTCAACTTTTTTTCAATTTTTGGAAAGGTTCCACTTATGGTCTCCTATTAGACAGTTTACTCCTTTTTGTTAGTAGTAAACTATTATAACCTTAAATCTTTTTCCAAAAAAACTATCAATTAATAGCAGTTGACTCTATTAGGGTTTGGAATCGATTCCACTCATACCTATGCATAGCAATCAATTACTTAAGGTTTGTAGTTGACTACTATTTTATGCAAAATTTAAGTTTAGCTTCTGCTTATCAAAACAGTTGACTCTATGTCAATGGTAGTTAATTGCTCTACTTGGAAGCCTAAGGTAGTCGACTACCTATATAATCAATTTTCTATATTTTGTTCTCTTTAATTCTAGAATCACATTTCTTAGAACCATACCTTATGCTAAATAACTTAATGTGATTTCTATTTT